AAATAATATAGTTTTTTTTGAGAGCTGTTCTAGTCCACACTCCACACCAGTAGGTGGCGGTAATGCACCTTAACGTTGTTTGCCAACTGCCAAAAAATAACTGAGAAGAAGAAGAAAAGAAGAAGAAGAAGGCGAAGAAGAAGAACTGCGACCTGGCTGTCAACAGTCAGTGAAGGAAAAATGGCTGCAAGGTTATTGCTTCGTTCTGGTTTTAGAGCCGCGGTGAGCTGCCGGGCTGCCCGGGTTCCTGCTCTGAGCCGCGGTATGGCGGCTGGAGGTGAGGATCAAACCACCATAAACACGACAATAACTAAACAAAGCTGAAGTTTCTACTAAAAACAGGGTAATCTACGGCTCGGTTAAGTCATGCTTCCGTCTCGTTCGTCACCAGCCTAGGCCCAACTTGATAAGAAACGTACGATTTTTAGATAAAGTTTGATGTATTTATGTTGCAGCTCTTAGAAAACAAATATATATTTTCCCAAAGAAAAAGCTTAAGTCTTTCGGCCTGTCGGTGTGCTGCAGTTCTTTACGGCTGGAGGTGAGGAAATAGAAATGTGCTAATGGCTAAAACAACATAAGCTAACCAGAAGTTCATCCTTCAGACCGCTGAACACTTCTGTATCCGAGTCTCACAAAATAAAATAAAATAAAGTTTTTGACCATGCAGAAATTAGTGTTTCAGTAAAGGTATTTAACTTGTAAGGATGCAACGCGGTGTTAGAGAATCACTAAACTGTTTGATATAAACAAGTTCAGAGTTGGGTCTCTGTCTGGCTGTTAGCATTAGCCTAGCAGCAGCGTCGTAAGGTCAAACGCCGGTTTTATTAAATATTTTATCAAGGTGAAGAATATACTTTAAACATATTCACATACATGTATTTTTTTTATCATAGCGCTATAGTTGTCATTGCAGAAAACTAGAAAGTTTGTGCTACGTTTAGGCTCAGACAACCTTCATGACACAAATCAAGCGTCAAAAAGCTGTTTTGTTCATGAGTTTAATGATGCTTTAAGCTTCTCTTGACCAGAGACTGTTGTTTTAATTAAAGAGGCCAGGCTTTTTTTTAAATATAATAGTTGCATATGTTGATTGGATTGTGCCACTGTAATGCCAGTTCACATTCTTTTGTGCAGTAAGTGACAGCTCTGTGCTCAGACTGGTTTTGGTGGGTGTTTACAGGGATTCCCACTGATGAGGAGCAGGCCACAGGACTGGAGAAGATCACCATGGAGGCCCTGAAGGAGGGAAAGGTAATGTTACTCTGCCATCAATCTTCCTCAGTTCTCCACTTTCTCAACACGATGGCTCAGTCACTGAAATAAATAAATAAATAAATTAGCTGATGCATATTATAGATTGACAGCAAAGCAGTCTAAAATACTATCATCAGTTTACTTTTATTTTTACTTTAAGCTTAAAACTTTCAATTCAAATAAGAAGAAATAAAATATTTAGTACACGTAGATATAGGGCTGCAACGATTAATCGGTTAATCGACGACTAATCGATTATTAAATAGGGCTGTGTATTGGCAAGAATTTGGCGATATGATACATATAACAGAGGGGTCACGATACGATATATCCCGATATATTGCAATATATTGCGATTTTTTTGTCCAAAAATTCTATTAAATAAAAACCTCTTACTGAAAAAAAAAGAAAAGCTAATGTTTCCTTCAATGCTAATGCTACCCTTACTCTCTGGCGCTCAAGAGGTAGAGGAGCCAAATGGCTGGCTCACTGTTGCCAACTAGTGGTCAGAGGC